ATTCATGCTAAAGTTTATTCATCCACTTGTGCATCTGCGTCTCTTCAAAACAGCTTGTGTCGCCACTTGCAGACTTTCAGGTTTCTGTTTCTTTGCCCCTGATGTGTTAAGCTAGAAGGCCAGAAATAGCTGACTTTTAGTTTGTTTTTAGACAGCTAAATGGTTGTAATTCACAGCAAAAGTTGGTGGTGCGCTGTGATTATTTCTAAAATTTGAAACAGTCTAAAAACCACTGTCTTAAAGTTGTGTGTGTGAAACCTATAATAATTCTATTTACCTAAGAGTAAAGCATGGCTTTTCACTTCCAGAAGACTTGCCTCAAAATAACTGTGGCTATGAACTGAACTATTCTCAGCTGTACTCCTGTCCTCCCTAACTAGTGAATATATATGGTATGTAAAGAGGTAATTGTTGGATGAGTAAGATGAAGCAAAGAAGCTGGTGAATTGAGTAAGGAAACTGGTGCTGGATGGTGAAGGGAAAGAAGGGCCAAACTGTGCAGTGCCTCTTTGTGCTTTTTGAGTTAATGTTGTTACTCTACTTTTTAATAAGCAATAGATGCACCTACATGTCTCTTCAACAAGGTAAACTGAAAGTGAGAGAATTTTCTTTGTTTTAGTGCTCCAACAGCTTTGGTCATTTCCATACGGTGGTAGGAGATGCCTTACAGCAGCGATGCTTTTTCTGTAGGTGGAGGTATGAGACGTGAAGTGTGCTGTCCCTCTGTATCCACTCAGGGAGTAAGCTCATGCCTACATTGCTCCCACCACATATCATTTCTGCACATATGGCTCAAAAATATAACAATTATTTTATAGATCTGCTTTTTTAGTGTCTGAAATAATGCGAGAACTATGTTGTTGCTTTAGAGGGATGTTTTTATGCATGACACCAAATATGTGTTGCACACTCAAGGACATGGAGCAAAAGAGTGGGAAGATGTGAGAGGATGGAAAGCCTGCTGGGAATGGTGTTGGGGGTCTGCAGAGAGCCAAAGCCAATGCATCTCTGTCCGGACTGCCTTTTGGGAACGGTCCCTAAAGGAAAACCATCCTCAAAACTCATGTCCAGGGTATTGATTTGGAGGAAACTAGTAGCTGCCTCCAAAAGAGAAGACACGAGCAAACAGATATTTGTGTAATGTGTGGGAGACTAGCCCTTACTGCAGCTACTTTGGGAAGATGCCATTGAACTGCACAGCTCACTTTATTTTTGGTTTAAAAGTTATATTAGCAATTATTTATGGGTTGGTTTGTTTTTATAGGGAAAGCACCTAGATTTTTTCAAGCATCTAGTCAGAAAATGTTCTTATCACATCTAACTTGGAATTGTTGTCCAACTCTTGTTAGGCTCATCTACAGAAACATACCAATGTAAAAACTGAGAAAGGGAAAAAAAGAACCCTACAGAAATGAGACAGACTGGTAATGACCACAAACAAACTTGCTCAGAAACCCTCGTCTAACTCCTAGTTTAGTTGATGATCAAGAAGGGACATCATAAAATAACAAAATTATCATCTGCTGTAGCTGTAGAAATGGCTCTGCAAAACCAGCTATTCCTTTTTTTGGTTTTGTGCTGTTGTTGTTGTTGTTGTTGTTGTTGTTGTTGTTGTTGTTGTTGTTGTTGTTGCCCCTGTGTATTTTGAACCAGGTGAGGGAAGTGAATGACACTGTGCACCACGGCTAACTAGCTGCATAAGGAGATTTCTAATCCAATCTTGGACTCTGGAATATGATCTTTTATGGTAATAACACACATAATTTGTATGTATCTTCAGTTGTCATGGTAGCCTGGCAATGTTGTGGGAGCACACATGCATTCGTTCTGTCTCTGTAAGCAGAAATAGTTTTAGACCATCTTCACCCTCCAGAAGAGCGCATCACCCATGTGAGGGGTTCCCCTTCCCCCTGTGTGTGTGTAACTCACACTAATGCCGGTGGTAATTGCACACACCTGCTTGAGACCTGAGCCTGCTGAGCTGGAGACTTGTGCAACTCCGTGACAATAAAATTAATTTGAGCTACTCTCTTTCTGTGAATCTCCTCCATACCAGGAAAGAGTCTGGCTAGTGTTTTTAAAGAATAAAGGAAAAATATTTTTAAGCAACATCAATAATGCAAAAAAACACAATGGTACAGGCAATCCCTTTTCTGCAAAATTTGAAGTAGGGTAACTGCAACAATGTGTAAAGCAGACTATATACTAGGTAGGGGGGGCACAGTGCATTCTAGTTAAGATTGTATTTTATGGATATGGTTTCTATCCATGGACCACATTAGCTATCTCATTCAATATGATTCAACAACAACAACAACAAAATTTTAAATTATGGTTTTGGAAAAGCCATTTCATTCTCAGCAGTTGTTCTTTTCCATAATCCATTTGGAGAGCATAAGCTGGTTTCTGCTCACAGTAAACCCCTGAACTGTGCTCTTGATAAAGCCCTGAACTGCACAGGTTGATATCCAAATACTAAGGAAGCTTATTAATGAGAGGAGGTGTGTGAAAATCTTCTAGGATATAAAATGGGAAGTCTCCTGTTGCTATTCCAGTATGCACAGCTGCCAGGTTGGAGAACAAAATATCACATTCAAAAACTGTTTTTTATTAAACTGAATTTGTGATTGGCCAGTGGAATAGGCACTCCATTGATTCTTTTCGGAAGATACAATACATTTTAGATTCTAATCTGTAAACTTTTTCAAATCAACCACCAAAACACTACACCTTCTCTTACACTGAATAAAAGGAAGGTCTTACCATTTGTTCATTTGTGTGCTGTTCAAGCTTGGTATTTAAAAAAAAAAAAAAAAGTTATATGAATACAGGTGATTTTGTTTCCTACTCACATCGGTTTCCTTCCAAGATAATCTAGGATTTGCTTTTACTGTTGTCAGTCAGTGCATGTTTCATAGGGTAGTGTATCAACCTGACTTGAATGATGGTGGGTTTTGTGGTATATCTTACTTCAGCTCACACATGATTAAATAATATTTCTTCCTGTCTGAATAAGCACTTATATTGGAACAGATTCATACTTAAGTCAGAGTCATGGAAGTGCATGTCAGTATTTCACTTGTTTCACAGCTCAGTAAAATATCAGTTTTGATGAGGTAAAAATAGAAAATCATAAAAGTGGGAGGGGGAAATCAAACATTAACAGTATAGAAAAGCTGTTCTTCTCAAATACCACACAATAATATATAGGATTATCTGATTTCAGTCACAGTTCAGCAGTATCCTTTAAAATAATTTTCAGGCTAACTGAAGATCTACCCTTCCCCATAACCTCAGCCTGGAAGAACATTTGGATGCAATCATTTAAAAATTACAAAGGCTGAAATTTCTAATAAAGCAACTGTAAGCTTGTGCCTTTCTGCTTATTTGCTGTCAGTAGGCAAGAAAACCCTGAAATTAGGGAAAAGGTGAGTTGCAGAGGAGGAAGTTGGGGTGGCCTGACTGTGAACAGGTGGCCTGCTCACAGGCTCAGACTTGGTGATTGACTGAGGAATTGGGACACTGCCTAAAGCTGAGGAAATCTTCACCTAAGTGAACGATGCACATGTATTGATCATAGCATGATAAAGCTAAGGATAAATTCCAGCAGCATCTCAAGACAGTGATGAGCCAAGTTACACTTAAGGAAACTATCGGAAGAAAAGCCAGGCTGAGGGAACTGCAGGTAATGGAGAGACAGGAAAAGAACAGGGATATTTTTGATTCTCAAATTAGCTGTCACTTGTATGGTACAGAAAAATTCCTAATAGAAATGTCCCATTTCTTTAAGCCCACTGAATCTTTGACTCAGATGCCAACTTAGCTTCCCAGCCAAAATTTTCACCTAATTGTATAATACCGAAATCTATATTTAGGTCTCTAAATAAAAGTGACCTGGATTTGAGAGTTAGCTCCACCTGAAGTTTCTTTAACTCTGCAGAGAAGTCAATGAGTACTGCAATTTAAAACCACTGAAAATTAGGCCACCTGGCAAGACACGAGACATTTATCTTGTGAGTGGCATAACTTGTTTGGGTGGAACAGAAAGAAGGGAGGACAACGGCAAAAAAATAATTGGTATATGATTTGTTTTACTCTTTGTCCTTCCTCTTTCCACCTCTAGGCTGCTGTCTTAAATGGGACCAGACTGTTCACAGGCAAGAGAATCGTGACTTCAAAACACAGCATTTGCAGTCAGGTAGCTTCCCTCCTTGATCTTTGGCAATCCCAATCACATCTATGCACCCACCTATGTTGTGTTGTCATGTGTGTGTGAATATGTGTATTCGCGTAACGCAGTTCAGATTGCTTTGTTAGTTGAGAGAATAAATTGCATGAGGCCTCTACAGACCATCCTTGAAGTCTGTGGCATTTTTGATTAAACCATACATACGTGTGTGTTTATACATATGTAGGCTGTTTATATGCGCACACTTACGTGTATGTATAGTTTATGATTCATGTAATGTTGACAGAGAAAAAGAAATGCAGCACCGAGCAAAGCAAAAATGTTCATTAGAAGGATATGTACTGCTTGGGGTATTAGCTGCACAAAACCTACTTTTAAGAGCCAGTGGTGGGGGAATAATATCAGGCCTGAGCCCTTTGGTTTCCATCGAACTATATCAGGAGTGCCTGAGGAGCTGATCTTATGGAAAAAAAGTGAATAAGATCACACAGTTTTCTCTGCTCTCAGTGGTTTCTTTCAGTCTCAGTTAGACAAGTCAGTGTGCTCTTCTCTCATGGGGCTGGCTTCAGGTTGGGAAACAGTCTGGAGCTGAAATTAATGCATTTTCCAGTAACTTCTTGCATATGGTTATAGTTAGAAATTAGCAGAAGACATTTTGCTCCTTTCCTCTTAAGCTGCCTGTTACCTCTGAGCAAGTGGTCTTGGTTTTTATTTCCCAAACAAGATCAAAGAGAACTGATCTCCTTCCCTTCCTCCCTCTCTCCTCCCCATTAGTCAGTGTGTCCAAAAAATAGCAAAAGAAGGTACCTACGGGATTCAGGAGAATGGTGAGAAAGAGTTCACCTCCTCGGATACTTTTGTCCAGCTCCTGAGGACCCCCAGGATATTCCTTGTAAAAAATAGTATGAGTGAAAAGGCCACAGGTCTGTCGAGGGAGCACCTGAGAACAAAATAACAGTGCCGTTGTGACATTAACTTCTTTCTGCAAACTTACACTGGCACAGCCACCTAAATCCCTCCAGCAACTGAAAGAAACAAAACTGCAACCCTTTCTGCCTCTGCATTCTGGCGTGTTTATTTATGGGCTCCTTTGTGCCTTCTGTACTCTCGTGGTAAACAAGTGCGGTCCTGCAGATGTGGAGATTTCCAGATGCCAGCTCTGAAAAGCTGTGGCACATATGCGCTGAGCTTTCATGCGGACCATTTTATTCATCTCATACACTCATAATAAGTGTTTGTTTCCTGGCGCTTGGAAGAGGAAGAAAACAAAACCCAAACCTCTCTTCCCTCAGCAAGGTTAGTTTATTAGCAGATAAATAGTGCTTCCTGGCTGCCTTTGCTATCTCAGGCAATTAATCTTACTGTTCCTGAGACACTGAAGTGAATTTGTATTCAAGGCTACGGACCACAAAAGACCTGTTGCTTCATACTTCCCTCAGTCCTGAAAATCATGCTGGGCCCCTCGTTCCTGTTTGTGAAACATGTATGGGACTGGTGGGATGCTCGCATGAGACCAGCCTGAGGTCAGCTCCCCGTCCTGTCATAAATTAAGGGGTTGCACGTCAGAAACAGGCCAGCTAGCAGGCTTGGGAAAACAAACTCATCTGGAGAACTAGACGGTTTAGTTACATTATGAGCTAGGTACCATCAAAAGGCTCTGGTAAAATAAACACAAGTGTCAGGGTTAATAGGTATTGCCTAAGCCATGCAGGGATGTAATTCAGCTGGGGAAGGCCTTTGCTTCCCTTCAGTCAGTGTTTTTGCTTTTCTACTCAGTTAAAACAACAAATAAAACCTACATTCAGCAGAGAATTTTAACACACCTGTAAATGCACTGCTGAATTTGAGTCTATTCTAATAGTAAATGGACTCTGTGCAGTAACTTCTTGGTTTCAAGATGTTCCTTTTGTCTTGTTTAGGGGATCACAATTTTGACTTTATGTGTATAGGCAATATTCAAGTCAGCCGTGTCTTTAAAGCAATGCAGGACCTGCCCTTGAAATATTTCGAACTTCACTTATGTCTATTTAGGTTTTGTGTTTTACCTACCTATAGGGTTGCAGCTGGCTGGTAAAACAGGCCAAATAATTTTATACATTTTCCTGCTCCTCATGCAGTGGAAGTGTGTATGTGAGAAACCTTCTCCCTCCTTGCACAAATGCATGGTCTGGAAGAGTCAGGCACGTGTCCAGTCCTTGGCTCTGGGAGTCTCAGTAGCAAAGCTCAGAATGAAACCTTGGCCTCAGAGAAGTGTCATACTTGCTGGAGGAGATTACTTACACCTGCTCACCTTCCCAGGTGACAGATTTCTAATCCTTTCATGCATAAAGATGTACCAGAGCTTGAAACATAGGTCTTAGGCAGTTTAATGAATTTCAGAGTACGCATGTATAACTTGCTTGATAGTTGATGGGACTACAAGTACATTTAGTTTCTGAGGATTACATTTCAGTTGTCTGAGTTTGTGTGACTTTTTTTTTTTTTTTTAAACTGGCTGAATAACAAATGCACTACTTTGGCATCCTTACAAATCCTCGATCACAGAGAATTTTAATGCTCGCTGTAAAACTTGAAGCATTTGGTAAAAATAGCATACTTTTGAATCACTTAAAGTACTACTGCTATGAAGCATGGAAATGCAGTGTACCATGATGCCATTGTGGATGAAGCCCCGTCTGTACCGTGCAGGCTTCAGGTGTGGATATTCTTCTGTGCTGGTCACTCGGATGTGCCAGACCTTCTTCCAGGCCTCATACAGCTGGATGTGAACCGGGTAGACCCCGGAGTGGTGCGGAGCCACTGCGTACCCCATGCCAGTCGGTATGCCATGCTCCTGCAACACAGCAGAGGGAGGAATATATTTAGGAACAGAAAAAGATCATGTAATTATTCAAAGCTTATTTTTCCTGCAGACAGCAGCTTTGGAGAAGCTGTTGTCCTTGGACAGTCTTGTATCTATTTGTATGTAGCACAAGCTAAAAATGGGGGAGAGATGAGGGGAACTGGAATTACAGTTTGATAACTGCAGAGTGGTAAATAATCCTTTTGGATTAAGCTGTGTTACAGTTACATAGATTTGTATAGGAATAGATTTGCCTGCCTGTTTGTTACATACTGAGTGTATTTTAATATGCATCCTACCTGTTGCATTCTTTTTAAAGGTAAGCAGATGTTACTTATTTACTAAGCTATAAAACAGCATTAAAGCAGTAAACAGATGGGAAAAAAAATGTTTCAGCAACATATGTGGGATTTTTGTTTCCTATTTCTGGAATAAGAGCAAAGATTCCTTCCTGATTTAAAAATTAAAAAAATTAATATCCCCCATAGCTTCTGAATCTGCTTATATTTTCCATGGTATTTCCAAGGTAGTAGCAAAGGTATTTCCATGGTGTATTTCCAAGTTAGTAGCAAAAAAAGCTGGACTTTGACAGACAGCTTTTTCGTTTCATAAATATTTATTCAGCTCCATTTCTATGAGGAAATACATGTATTTTTGTGAATATAATCTATACGTTATCTTGAAAATGTCTTCCAATAGCACAGTGAAATAGTTAATATGCAGGCAGAAGGAATTAAGGAAGAAGCTTAACTGCGAGCGTGCTGGGCATGTTCCCTTCACTCCTTGATGCTTTCCTGTCTTTGTTCTGCTCCCCAATCCCTCCCACTCCCGATTTAGCATGGGCTGTCTGAAAACCCTATCTGATGATGAGGCCTGATAACCACATCTATAGACCAGGATATATTTAAAAGAGAGAAAATTATTGGACGTGTAAGCTATACATGTGAAAATGAGGTAATTAGTTTCATTGGTCTGAGTGACTATTCAGACATGGATCCAGCATTTATCATCAGCTACTGGCAGAAAGAAAGGCTGTGCTCTGCCTCCTCTCCTGAGGAGACTCATTTCTATGAGTTCCAGAAAAAGCCCTTTTCAACTCCTCTGCGGCATCTCCGGGTTACAGGGTGTCCTGCCACTGTGGCTCTCACCAGATCCCTTCCCACGCTCTGGGTATTTGCTGAATTCATTTTACTCCCGGTACTACAGGATACATTAGCTGTTTTCTGGTGGTATAAAATTGATGTTCAGAGGGAAATGACTAAAATGTGAGATGATGATTTTTTATGGTTTTTTGTCCTTCCTCTTGCCTACATTATCTGAGAACTGTTGATTACTTTAATTCCAGGAATAGCAGGTTCTGCTGGGCATCTTCAAGTACTTTGCAAAGAAATGGTTTTGGTTCATTGTCAAAAATTAAGTTAAATCTGTAGGGAACACTTGTTCATGAATCACATAATGTGACCACTTAAAATTATCCATTCCTTATTAGTAAAGATATTAGGTTACTGGCTGATCTTGAAAGAAAAGAAAGCCAAACTCACTATTTCATGATTTACTGAGAGCAAAATGTAATTCCTCCTTTTAATGTCGTTACCTACCTGAAAGGCATGAGTCAGTTTAAGGGTGAAACAAGAAATAGCTCTATAATGAGAAGTGTTAAATCACACTTTTCTCTATTTTTTTTTTTTTTTTTTTTTTTTTTTTTTTTGCCATGAACATGTCTAAAGGAAAAAGCTGTATCTAAAAGTTTCTGAAAATTTTGGCCATTTATTATTACTCTACCTGATTAGTCTATGATACTCACGCTGTCAAATATACTGTGCTAACTTAAATGTACTGTATCAACTTGAATCTACAAACCTTCACTAAACCTGTGTCAGGGAGCATAGATACACATAAATGTAAGGCAAATGTGTCCTAAGCTAGATAACGCAACACTGCTCTGAATGGTATGTCCAAAAGTAAGTGTCTGGATGAATACATATAAAATCCTGTTTATCTACTTACTATTTGCTGCTGGTATTACCATAGCAACAGAATGGTGAAATGGTAATCTGCCATTCACAAATAAGGCAGCTTTTCATAAGTTCTCAGTATAAAAAGCTAATTAGACTCTGAATAAAACCTGCACACTATGTAGTTCATCACACAAATACGTCAGTCACTCAGATACCCAATGACCTTAAGAAGAAACAACTAACAATCAGTTTTTATTCGATCAGTTTCATGTTCAGTTTACTTGGGTAAATTAAATATTGTATGTCCTCTTTGAGTGTGTTTTGTTGCTCTGTTTCCTTTTTTCCTCTCATTTTGTTATTAAATTTAGTTTGGGATTAATGTATTAAAGGAGGAGTATATACTTGAATGTAAGATATTGGGCAAAATGGGAGATGCCTGTAGTAACTGTATTTTCTTACATATTCTAAGGAACAATTTCTTACAAGATTTTATTGTTATTTTTACATTCAAGACTTGCATTGATTTTTTTTTAATTTCAAAATTTGTTCAAAAATTTTGTGCATGTGTTTGGTTTTCAAACTTTTGACCCTTTCTGGGCACTGTGAACAGCAGCATTACATTCCTTTGCACTCTTAAGCTGGGACCTCAGAGCCATTATTTTGGACAGGTTAAATTTGTATTCCTATTTTACTTGTGCCTTAGGAGACTTTCCATTCTAATTCAAATGACAGCATAAGCTGAAGCTGCAGCGATGGGTGAGTCCAATATTAAGGGAGAACCACTTTTAGAACCGGTGAGATGGGGGGAAGATGATTAAAACTGTTGTTGCATTTTTGGCAGAAAATTCCCTGAATTGTTGCTACTTCCCATACACTGGTTTGCATCGTGGAGCGGTTTGGGACCACGCGACCTGCCTGGTTATAAGGGCTCAACCAAACTAGAGGATGCTCTCCAGGAGCACACCTTGTGTCCTTCTGGCACCAGGGAACATGTGGTATTTGGATCAGACTACCACCAGCTCAAAATAACCTTTCCTCTGATGCCTGCATGTGGCCAGTGCATCTGGCCAGCAGCAGCCACTTCATCCAGCAGAACCCAGAGTCACTGTCTCACGCTCATGCTGATGCACCCAAGCCAGAGCAATGGGATTTGGAAACTCATAGTCTTGCCAATGCAGCCTGTCTCATCTTTGCACCCTCCAAAGTTACCTTGCCCAGACCCCACACGTAGGGCAGATACTTTTACCGGTGATCTGAAAGTCTGAAGCAATCTGCCAAGGCTGTTTATCTCTCTCAATTATCAGCTTTGTTCAATCAAGTGCTGATTTCCTTGAAACTCCTAACCTCTTTTGACCTTCCCATTTGTACAGAAATGAGCTGTGCTTGCCATGAGTCAGCATGTGCTGGGGGTACTTATTCTTCATTTGGAAAAAAACCCTATATATTGCAAAAAAACCTGCTATAGGAAAGGCAGGTAACACCAGATGAGCATGGATCTTCAGAAGGAGGTATATTCTCAACAAGTCAGTTTGCATTCCTATAGCAGATCTTCTATGAGCAAATGTTGGAAATTTCAGTAAAAAACATTGTATGGAAGAATGACTATTTATATTAGCAGGATACTGTCTGACAGAAAAAAAAACAAAACAGTTTTTGATTGCAGCAAACATTACATGTCCTTGTTAAAACGCAGTAAGAAATAAAATGAAACAAAACCTAAAACTTTTATAACACAACTGGCATTCTGGTTCTTAAAAATCGCTGGTGATTTATTTTACAGAAATATCTAGTATTGTCAGAGAAAGAATAAAAAGGCAACCTTTTATTTTAATTTGTTAAATCTTATGTCTATGAAAAGGTCTTTTCACACAGTCAGTTGAACTGCAGGATTCCCTTTGGTGTAAAGACTTTTCTTAGATGAAAAAGTTAACAATACAACTTCAGATAAGTTTAATAAACCTTTTAACTTTGTCCAACGGTAGGTGACAGAGTAAACGCAGTACTTTTTAAGATGTTACCTTTCAAAGTGAAAAGATTTATATAAGCTTTGCATATTTTTAGTACCGGCATGTATTTCTAATATTGCTGAACATGGGTGAGATTTCCTATAAAAAATTATGTATTACTATAAAATACTCAGTAAACTTTCTCTTATTTGGTAAATGAATTTGCTACTTCCTTGCTTCTCAGCACTCACAAAACTGTTGTGATGTATTTTATCCTTTATGGGCATATGATTTTTGTTCTCAAGGGTTACATCTCTTGCTAATTTTTATGGAATAAATATTTCAGCCTTCAATTACTTTTAGTTCAATTCTAAATGTTAAAAATCTGTTTAAAAGCTCTCTATCTAGACAAGATGGATCAGCAAATGAGAGGTGATGGTTATTGAGATATAGAGGCTCTGTGTGTTGGTATTTGCTTTCACCGTCATTTTTTCATGTCCGTGGTGTGCTTCCTTGCACAGGTGCTTTCTTGCACCCCTTGTACAAGGGGTCTTAATGAAGTAGGTTTTCTGATGTTGGTGTCAGATCCAGGATTGACAGGGACAGGGGAAAAGCCAGCTTTCAACCAGACTTACATATCAGCCTCCCAGATATCACCACAACTCCTGTCCTAGGCATGCTTCGCACTGTAGCAGACTACCAAGAGGCAGAGAAAATGCTGGGATTTAAAATCTTAGGTTTCTGAGGATGCGAAACAAAGAAAGGCAGTCCAGCACTGAGGAAGATACACATGACTGGGAAACATGCAGACTCTGCATATGTGTGGTACCAAATAAAGCTGAAAAAGTAGAGGCAGTCTTAGAGATGTGCTGTCAAAGCGTGCTCCTGATATGGACACAAGCCCTAACGAAGATGGACTGTTTCGGAAGGACCTTAAGGTTTGTCAAATTAAATCATCCTGTCTTCACAGGACAATGTTATCCTATATATGGAGACCATTTACAGACCATTTTTAGAGGCAATCTCTAGTGGGCATCTCTCCTACCCCACATTAACTACAGATATTAGTAATGGGTAAACTCTTTTCACAACATGAAGATACTTTGCCTTTGATATGTGGTCACTGGTCTTCACATTCTTGGTATTTAATTGGTATATTAAAAGCCCATGATTTCTTTGTGGTTTGGGCAGCTCAAAAGTTTTAGGCAGAGGAAGTGCTAATGTGCATCTGTAGTTGGATTATAAACAGGAGACTGAAGCCAAGGAGTGTTACTATACAGCCTCTGAACTGATTTGTTTGTTTTGTATATGTGTATCTCTGAATTGATTTGTTTTGTATATGTCTCTCACTTCTTCATATCAGATCACAGCTACCTTTTTACAGTCGATCATTTCTGCCCTATCTCTACCATGGTTTTGGCACATGTGCTCGCAAATGAGCATAGAAGATAATCACTGAGCAAACAAATCGAGGGACAAAATAAAGAGCTACAGGCTTTTGGATTAAATATATCCTACTTGTTTTTGTCAGATAAGGATGTACAAAGAGGGGAGGAAGAATATCTTGTGACTAAAGGATGGCAGTGAAAACTTGGTTTATTTTATTTTTGGAATATGTACTTTCAGAGATTTCTGCTTGTGCAATTTGTTTACCTCTTTGCGTATCAATTGCATTGCCTATAAACAAGAAGAATAATACTTGAGATACTATCAGTTTGCAAAATTTAATCTAGGTCTTAATAAATTGGTGTCTTTAAAGGATCTGAGGATGTTCTGATAAAAAAAACCCCACAAAATATGATTAAGTGAAACCCAGCTGATAATCAAAATAAATGCCATTTGCCATTTCCTTAGTCAATCTCTGAAGCATATCATCCGTATTTAAGTAAACAAGATGACACTGGGGTAGCAAAATTCTGGGTAATCTGCAACTTACTTTACCAATGTTAATATCTCTGGCTTTTGTTCTTCTGATGCTGAGGATACTGTGAGTACTTGAGAAGAGATTTAGCCACAAGGGCAGTGGGGACAGGGCTACGGATGGGGGCGGCTGTGGGGCTTATCACTCAGACCTGCATGGGCAAGGATTTGGCCAGGCAAGACTTCCCACATTGACTGCTGGATCCAGAGCAGTGGGGCAATAACATATACGAATGACATGAGAAAGTCTCTTCCTCTCGCCAACTAGTCATGAAACAGTAGAAATTATAAATATCTCAGTGACACATAAAATATAATAATTTGGAGGACTTGTTAAAGGAAGTCTACTGATTCACAAGCAATTAATGTGTAAGGGAATACTTTGAAGACTTGATTTTACTAAGGCCCGGAGACAGGGGCATATGTCTGCACTGAACTCAAGGCAATTAGATACCTAATTAGCAATAGTTGTATGTGTACAAAACCGTTTGGATATACAATTTCTACATGTATTTTGTGATACAGCTGTTTGAGGCAGGCTGCAGCTGTAAGCCCCCATTTTATAGAGCATCATGATGAGGTATGGATATAACTGTGTAAAACTGAATGAGGTCTTTTATCTAGTTGCCAGCTGTAATACCTGTATTTCTTGCCCGTGTTCAGCAGACTGTACGTATACTTGAGCTCCTGCAAACCAAAGATTATGCATACAGTGTAAATACAAGAGCCAATAAAAATTATGCTTATGTACTTTTCTAGCTCCATGTGATAATATCCATGAAATACTGTTTCAGGTGCACTGTCTTGTGTTTATTAAGCTTGACTTTAATCCACAGTACTCAGGAGAAAAACATTCCTTTCTTGAAACCTTTACCCCCAGTGAACAACATCAATCCCAAGTCTGATACTCTCTTGAATGAAGCAGCTGATGACTGTGAATGGGATTTGAGTGCAGGTTTCTGGACGGTGAGATCTGTTTTAGCTTTCTTCTAAAAGAAAACTAAGAGGTCTTAATGAACAGAATTTTTGTTGTGGTATCTGGGTTCTCACAGGAATCTTGACTGTTCTCGGGTATAATGCTGTGCTCTCCCATCCTGAAGACGCTGTTACCTTCTTACCCATATTTGAAAAAATGAATGAAGAAATACCACATTAGGTGAAGAATAAATGTGATCATACTTCCAAGTAATTATTGAGGCTTTTCTTGCAGAAACTGATACAAAGTGTCATTTCTACTTGCAGCTTAAAATGGGAAATGCAAGAGAAAATGTCATCAGCTGTGTTCCCCTGAGTATAATACTAAATAAAGTTACATATATATTTTCTATATAAATAAAACATGTATAGCATCAAGCAGATTTTCTATGTATTGTTGTAGATGTCTAAATTTGGATCCACACTGTGAAGTCAAAGAGTAATGAAAAACGATCTGTTTTAACTTTAGAGGACTTATAGAAGTGCAGTCGTGGAACAGGGAGTTCCTTTCTGAAATAAGACATGATGTTGAGGATGGGAAAGCAGGGGAAGATGCAAAACTGCTCTGAAGTCATGGCTGGGACCTCTCTGATAGCTATCAGGAAGGTTGTGTCATATCAGGAAGATAAATTTCTCCCACAGAGAGAATTTCACAGGAAGCCTTTTGAAAAGAAATGTTCTCATAAGTAAATTGTACAGCTCATATAGATTCAAGGTTAAGAGGTTGGTACAACCCCTGTCCAAATGTTAGCAGGAAATAAAACTGTAATAACAGCAGCCTTTCACTGACATCAGCTCCTTATTTATAGGTACCCTAAGGAGTCTCTACCCTTCAGTGATGATAGGGACATGAGCTTTATCTTTCTGTAGTTGAAGTTACAAACAGATTATATTACAAGCCCTGTTTTCAGGCAATGCTATAGATTTTACTCCTAAAGGTGGCTTGACCTAGAGGACTTCATGTTTGCTGAAAATACTAGGAGAATTACCCAAAGGTTTAAAGATAAACAGACCATGTATTTTTGAGATACAGGTTATTTAAAAAAATTACTCTTGTAATTAAAATTTCAACTATAATTGGGTCTCTGGGCCAAGCTACACAGAAGGCATGAACACGCTGTGCCAGAAATGAAGGCTGACAGTAAAACAAAACTGTAGAAAGGAAAAGTCGTCACCCAAAATACCTCTGTACTAACACCCTGCCAGCGGGAGATCCGAACGGGGGGAAGTCTGGCAAGAAGAGTAAACAGTTAAGCCATTTTTAATGAATATTTTTTAAAGGTTGTTAGGAAAATATTTTTGTAAACAAGGGAATAAATTGCTTCCAATGGCTTGTTCGGGCACCTGCCTCTGCTGGTTTCCTGATGTGCCTTGGCTGATGTGAGGGATGGGAGGAAGGGGCAGCTGCTGGCTGGCCTTTCTGAGCAGTGAAGGGTTGTGATTTGTGTTCCCAGAGCAGCAGAGAAAGCCCCACTGTGTCACTCTGCTCTTTTGAGTGGCTCTGGTTGCTTGGCATTTGTACATTTTGTCAAAGAACATGCAGTGTCTTTTCCAAAGCAAGCATTTATAGATTTCAGGTTTTCTTTGTCATGCTCAATAAGCAAGTAGAATTACCCTGAAAGGACTCTAAATGGTTTCAACCTAACCTCGGAGTACAAGTACTCTGAGCTCTGGGCAATGCCAGGAGGATAGCTCTTGTAAATTCACAACAAGAACAAAAATGAAACATCATTATCTATAGCTATTAGTAACAGGTTAGCTATGTAAAAAAAACATATTTTCAAGCAGGTAATCTAAAAAAAGCACAGTGAAATCCAGCAGCTTCACGTTTCCTTCATTAGCTTCAAGATTTCTCACAAATCATACACAACATTTAGGGTTTACAGCACCTTTCTCCCTCCCTTATTGAGGATGTTTGCGCCAGGCTTCAGGAAGCTGATAACCTGTGTATAAACCCCTTCCTAAAGCTTAAAAAGACAGCTGATATCTGCTGACGTTTCACTGCTTCTGGTCCCTGTGGTCTCACAAGTTTGCTTGGGTGAAGGGCTGCTACCTCTCCAAGAAAGCCCATGTCGTGAAAAAGGCTAAGGCAAAACTCAGCCCAATCTTGAGTCACAGAAAGGCTTTTTTTGGGGCTCATTTTCCAATCTTATTTGCTTATCAATATGAATATATATATGTATAATATAGATAAACATGAAACCAGCTTGGAAAGCATAGCTATAATATGCAGAGATATCCTGCCGAACCTTTTGGTAACTTTTACTCACTATTGCAAATTCTTTGTTGAGGATCATCTGCTCCACCAGTGATGACTCATTGTGGAAGAGGTGAGGCTGCATGTGACTCCACATATGGGGAAACCACCAAAACTCATCTACAGACCTCAACAACAGGTCATCACCTTCATCTTCCTCTTCAGTGCCTGCAAAAGAAAGAAAGAAAAAAGAAGGGTAACAGAAAAGCAACAGCAGAAAGCGCCCGTAATTGTTTTCTAGACACAGAAGAGGCTGCCATAAAACTTAATGTCCTTGTCCTGGATGTCTCACTGTGCTGCAGATGGGCTGTATCGTGTCACAGAGAGAGTGAGGTCAATTACCATGGATGGTAGCTATCCCTTTCTATTCCTAGCATGGTGTTAACTGACAGGAATTCTAACAAGAATTAGTTTTCAAGGGCTGATTTCTGTGCTATGCAATGCACTAGGAGTATTTAGAAGTTCAGGCTCCTCATGACAGTGGAGACTGGATTGACTTGTACCCACCTGCTTCGGTCCTGCCAGACAACTACACAATCGTAGCTCGCCACCGTGATATCACGGAGAGCTGTGTGCCTGAGTCTTGCCACAGGTGCCCCCCTGACTCATAGCTACCTCGTCATTAGCCTTGGTAAGCTGAAATCTGATAATTTCTGGTAAAATGTGAAACAAGTTTGCAATAGGTTCAGAAAATAATTAGGTGGAAAATACAAAGCTGTAATAGCAGCGGGGTTCTAAATGTTGTTTGCAGTGGTTTGGTATTCAATTTTTGCCAGATTTAATCTTGAAGTAAAACCAATAAAAACTCCTGTGTTAGTGAAGAGTATCTGCTGCAGGCAGAAACAAGCACGGGTGGTTATAACAAAGGAAACCTTCCATTTGAGAAATGATACAATGCTGCTTCCACTATGTGCAGACATATGTCTGCAGTGCTTTTTCAAATTGGAAAGGCAAAGTTACATTTTAGTAACTTCACCCTCAAATTACTCAACAATATCCAGTTTATTATCAGTCTTCTTTCTCGTTCCTTTAGCATTTAAATACTTTTATTCAACTTCAGTCAAAGAAATAATAGTCAAAATCAATCTGCTGATGCAGACATAGATATCTTCTTACAAGCCTTTCTATGTTTTGCAAAACTCATTGGAAAAAAAATGCTCCATGGATGTCACTGTTTACTTTTGTGGCATGAGGCAGGAACATACAGAGATGGCTGTTTGGTGCATGCACTTCAGCTCTTTATTTTTATTTTTCACTTCTGCAGTGGTTTTTGAAGAACACTACTACACAAGGAGAGCATTACTTTGAAACTTTCTCCTCATGTCACTGAATCACTTCGCTCCCCTCTTTGCAGCCCTCTGCAAGTTCTAAGGAAGTTGCTCCCGCTGATGGGAGTGCTACTGGAAAACGAAAACAACCTTGTTTCCTAGGTAATTCCTTATTGAAAAGAAAGGACTGATGGTTGCTCCTTCTGTGAATGTCTGCTCCTTTGTGCAAAACTTCAGTATACTGCATCTGTTGAATGACCGTTCTCTTGGTTTTTGGGGTATGTGGTTCACTTGCAGTCACCCAGGCACATGGAAGGGAAATGTGACTAGGGGAAGAAACTTAACATAGGCTTTCAAAATAGGACAGGAGGGAAAGGGGTAGGAGTTTGTGAAGCCATTGAAGATCTCTTTGGTAACCCAAAGGTAGAAAACTGAAGGTAGAGATGAAGTGGAAAAAAAGTGGATATTTGACATATGTAAAGAACGACAATATTTCAACATAAGATTTAGGTAAAAGTATAATTTAGAGACTTATTAACATTTGAAATAGAGTATGGTTCTTGAAATAATGCTATTATTACAAACTATATTTTAAAATCCTGTGATTTTTTTATCCAGTTTAGTCCTATTTTTTCCTACTAATTTCTTTGTAAATTTAGATACAACTAATTTTTTACTGTAATAAAATCAAACAAGGTAAAGCGTAACACTTTCCACTTTAAACAAAACCAACCCCACATTGTAATTGCAGAGCTGAAACAAAAAGGTTGGAATTTTAACATTTGGTGGTGGTGGTGTTTAAGAGGATAATTTTCTTTACGAACCTTTAAAAAGAGTGTTATTTGATTTTATTATTCTTAAGTAGTGTTATTTCAAAAAAATCTTATGCAATGGTTTAATGGAGCACTTGATGAGTGCTTTTATTGTTTAAATATTTTTTTGTCCAAGTCCTTATTCAGAGTACTGGAGGCAAAATAAGGGATTTTGAGGTTTTCATTTCTTGTACAATCAACATACTTTGTGTAACTTTCTATCTTCATCTTCATGTGAAATCTGAAAAATGCAGTAGACCTACAATCAAGGAGGTGAACATATATATCTGCTTTGAGATGCAATATTCACTTTACACAGGTAGGTAATCAAAGTTTGTGCATAATAAAGAATCTCATGGTTTAAAACTAGAATGATAATTCAGGGGTCTCTCTTGAGCTTAAAATTGAAACAAAGTTTGAAGTGGCCATCAATAATCTTATAAATCTTAAATGCAAATCCTGAGAACATCTTAATTTCTATTGCCACAACATGGACAAGTAGAAAGTGTTTGCTAAAACTGCATAACTAATATGGATCTACTTAGTTTTTTACTAATAACACTATGTCTACAGTACATAGTTTACCAGTGCCACAGAAGGGAATGGTGGTGGCGGTGGTGGTGAGATGATGAGCAGTGAGGCTGTGTTGTACTATTGTACTTGTGTGCAGGCATACTAACTAGAATTGGCATTTGTAGTACAGATGTCAGCAACATCTTTTGATGAAAATTTATAGCCATTTAATCTGCCAACACATTCCCACGCTCATCTCCCTCCTGCAGTTTTAAAATGATCCAAGTTTTGTAAAGGAGAGCAAAATCACACATTAGGGAAGTCAACAAGGCACAGCACAGTGCGCTAAAAACCCATGTTGAATATTTGATACTAAAAGCCTGTATGGGTAAACAAGCCATATTTACAGTAATTAAAGAATGTATTTCCATGTTTTATTTATAATGAGTCAATAAAGTGTATATTGCATGGAGAATATTTGAAACCTTTCCACTAAGCTGATATGACAGAACGCCACCACCAACCTGTAAATGAAATGTTCACTTAAAAACTCAGATACATCGCTGAGTACAGGCAGCAGCAGGCCCCTTAATGGAGGCAATGACATCCTTCAACTCATTAAGTAGTTGTGTGCTATTTTTGTAAGCCTTTAGAACCTTAGAAGAGCAGGCACACACGGACATTCTCCTGTTTTCTCTCTCTACAGCAGTAGCAAATTTGAAATTGGTCAGCATTATATTAGCTGGGCAAGAAAACTGCTGACAGCAATGGAGGTCGTTGTGATGAATGAAGAAGAAATGTATTGGCAGGTCAGGGGTTTGATTTTGTAGAAAGGCTGCGTGTTTTGTGCCAGCCACTGTTCAGGACATCATAGTATTTATAATAAATTATCTCTTTCTCCACCTCCTCCACTCCTTGAATTTCCTTTCTCTGTAGTGGACACTGTAATGACTGTACCAGCTTTACTCTGTAGATGGCCACAACCACGCAGCACCCTACTTTAGAGCAGCTCAGAGCCTTGGGTGAGTTTTCTTTATTTTGCTGTATTATGTGTGTGTCCAATTAAACTCCAGAAGGAGCAACGACACAGGCAGGTCAAGATGAAGTGAGAAGAATACTGAAGTTCTGTCTCCGAAGCTGCTCTCTAATCACAGGTCTGCCACTGGCTTGTTATATGACTCCAGGCAAGTAATTCCATCTCTCTCTAACTCTAATTTTTTCCAGGCTCTCCAGCCTGTATCTTTAGTCTGTAAGGTTTCCTGGGCAGCAGTTGCTTAGCATTATGTGCTAGCGCAAAGGGAAAATAGCCTGGACTTTGAAAGTGACAGTGATACAAATACATAATTTAGGTTTCTTCTCTCTACTCATCCCCTCCTATGCTTCCTCATGTACCCTTCTCCCAGGGACCTCTGCACTCTCCTAACGGGTGGTGAAACAGACATAAGAGCTGGGTAAGCTCATCTATTTGATATTCAAATACTGTCAACGAAAAGGGGAGTAGTGCTACACCTACACTTGAAGGGGTGACCTGTCTTACTCCACAGCTCCTTCATAGCCTGTTACAGCTGGGACTGCATCTTTCCTAGCTTTGAAACTTACCCTCTTGCTGCTGCAATGCCTCCTCCTATGCTCCAGATAAGCTTCTCAGCTTTCCCTGGCATCACTCAGTGATTATCAACAGGTATGGCTGAGTATCTTGAAAGCTGAGGATTTTGGAGCTGGTCTTCAAAGATGGGAAGGGTATGGAGTTTGGAAAGGAGAAGGACAGGAGTTGTCTTTTTTGAAGTGGGTTGCCGAATAGGTCTTTTTTTGCCTTAGCAGTACTAGGGAGCAGCATTGTTCAGTGACAGCAGAGGGAAGCCTGAGTGGAGGTGCAGCAAAGTGTTTAGGAGAAGGCAAAGGAGGAGGGAGAAAAAAAAAAAAAAAAAAAAAAAAAAAAAAAAAAAAGGGGGAGGGGACATTGTTCTGTGGAGAAATGGAGCAGAAGAGAGAAAGGAGTCGTGAGCAGGAGATGTAAAAGTGCCCAATCTTCCACAGAAACACAGTGCAAGTGTGCAACTTGTTACTGCATAGAGTGTGAAAGGAGCAGGGTTTAAATACAAATTTCTTTTAATCTTGTTTTCCTTTTATTATCCCTCCAGATTTGCAGACCAATGAGATAGATAGTCATAAGAAAATCTTTTGCATCCCATTCAACTAATTCTGTCTCTTCAGCGGTTACAAGACATGATTTTTCCAATCTTTTATATTTCATCATACCTATCACGCTGGAAAAACATTAGTATGCCTTTCGTGGAATTATAGAGATGTTAGCAGCTGCTTTGCCTCCTTTATAACCCTAAGATTCACGACCACAGATCTTTCAGAAAAGCACCGAGGGCATCTACGTGTTCCTGAGAAGCTCATCAGTGGTGTACCTTTGCCCCTTTGGACAGTGAATTAGACACTGGATCCTAAAACGGTGGAGCATGTATTTCCCACTGTTTCACTGAGTCCACGTGTTATTTTAAAAGGGCACGTTTAAAGCTAGCTTTAAAATCCTGTCACCTATTTAACTGCAGCTACCTGAGAGCATGAAGTTCCTTCTTACCTGTGTGGTAAAATTTTCCTGAAAATCCAAGGTTGAAGGTAAAATTTGCAACCTGAGTGCGCAGTAAATTTTGAGTCTCTAGTAAAGCCTGAAATAAATAAGAAATTAACATGCATTTAGAAAAATTAATATTAATTTTTGGAATGCCTCATAAAAAAAAAAAAAAAAAAAAAAAGATCCTGTTAAATGTTTCACATTTTATTTTGGGCTCATTCTTTTTATAAGACTATTACAGTGAGCTTAATTTGTTCCTTCAGAGTGTGATGGTCTAGCAATGCTAGTGATAAGTGGCTAAGTACCAAAGTAGGTTATGGTTCTGTAACTTGGACCAAGATACTATACATTGTTTGTGGTGATCTATGGCAGGACTTGAATCCAGCCAATTCAGAGGCAGCAATATACTAAATCACTACGACACCCATACTTTGGGTTATTAACGAAGCTTGATAAAATGTGCTTAAAACCCAACATAATATTAGGAATACTACTTGCCATCCAGATGTGGAGGTGTTGGGATTTACTTACCTGCAGAAACATTTTTGATTGTGTCTGAATATCAAATTCAAGCTTAAGTGTGAGTGTAACTAAACTCCAGTTTTGACCTATGGTGGAAGTAGTGTCCATGTCAGAAATTAAATCCCTGTTTATCTTCATTCTTTCCTCCAAGCAAAATATAAGACCAATCTAAATGAAATAGAGGAAAGGGGTATTGCTTCTAGAAGAAATAGGTGTAGTCTTGGTCACCTATCAATTTTTTCTTGGACATATTTTCAGCCACTGGAGAAAGAGAAAAGATGGTTTAGCCTATGTGAGCTATCTACATTTATTGTTAGTTGTCAGCTCTGCACTGCTTCTAAAGATAGTCCTTGCTGCACAGATATCTGTCCGCTTTCAATCACCAGCCCACATAATTTGGACGTGCTACATATGTGAGATGGATAGTGCATTTATCTCCCTATTGGTCTTGCCAATGTTGAATGGGTTATAAGCTCTATTTTCATCAATTTTCCGTGTCTCCATTATGTGGCTCTTGAGAACTTTTTCCATTATCTATTAATAACATTTCTATTGATTGAATGTTCATGTTCTTGCACAGTTCAAAGACAAAATGAATGCAGTAGTTTACACACAGTCCAAGTCCAGCTAATGTTTCCTTTCATTTGAAAAATTACATTTTGTATGGTCATTAGTAATTTCACTTAACATTACAGGAAAATAGTTTTACCTTTTTGCTCAACCCACTGGTCTAAATTGAAATGACAACAACAACAAACTCTACTTGTGACCATAAACCAAAAGTACTGTCAGTCCACCATAGACAAAACTTGGGTTTAAGCAGTTGAGATAGAGATTGATGGCCCGTGCAATCCTAGTCCAGAGTGAAGCGGAACTAAGCAGGGCAGGTTTCTGTGGTCTCATGATTCATCATATTTCCTTTGCACCGCAATTGGTTGAGAGGTGCTGTCAGCTACTGTCAGCATTTGCTGTAGGACATCAACTTCTTAAAGTTACTGACTCCCTCCTAATTACGCAGATAATTGGGCACCATGCATGTTGGAGCACAAGCCTCTTCTAAGGCATCATTTGCTAACAGCCACCTTCTAAAGACACATTGTTCAGGTGCCAAGCAGCTTGGGAGTGTAATACAAAAGATTGTCAGACAGTGTGCATCTGCCTTCATTTTTAAATAGAAACATTTACTGGGTGTTAAGGAAGATGTAAAACAAAGATAGTGGTTATCAACGACAATAGTCACCAAGCAAATTCCTTTCCCTGCTAAAGGAAATAAAGTAATGACAATAAATCTTGTGCTTTAGCATTAAATATTAAGACAGCACTATGGTTTCCAGCCTATCTTGCCAGACATTTAGTAAGTTGATTATAGTCAATCCTGTGACAATTTCACATGTGGGACTATATTTACATAATATATAATAACTTAGATGTTCACAAAAATATAAAACATCAGAGATCAACCCCACTGTTAGCTAAGACATTGAGGAAAATCCTCAGTTGGTAAAATCTGGCACTAAAATGAAACCATTAAAATTACAAGCATAGAATCCGAGTCATTATATTTTAGAACATAATTTTCCACCCTATCTAGAGTGTTTTATATATGTTGAGAAAGACTGATGGGCTAAGTAAAATCAATTCAATTTTCCTTTGAGGAAAGAACATCCTGAGAAATTTTTATCACTTAACATATAGTATAAGAAGGTACATGAAACAAACATCATTATATCACTTCGTTTTTTCTCTCTAATTTGCCTCACACTCACATCTCAGTAAGATGACAGAGCTGCAGGATAGACAGAAGCCTTCCAGCCCAGTAAGGTCTCATTAAAAACAGAGTGAGGATTAAGATGTAAATCCTGTAACCTGCAGTGTGTCAAGCATTTTTCTCTGTCTAAAGGGCAAATCTGTCACTCAAACTGCATTTGGCTTGGTCCTAAAGATTTTTTTAATTGCAATTTCCATATGTGCATATTAATTTATGGAATACGCAGACAAACTTCATTTTCATGACCTCACCTAATTTTAATACTAAGAAGATACTGTCAGCTAAGTCAGTCCAAACTTATTTTGTCACTACTTGCCCATTTATAGAGCAGAGGTTAACGTCTTCCACACCCTTTATATAAAAAAAACAATCTCTGTTTAGGTAATAAGGGTCTGCCTTCCTTATTTTTAATACATATCTATTCAAACAAAATTGCTAATGACTCATACTGCATTCGCTGGTAATTGTGCACAGTAAATAAAGAGAATTTTTTTCTCATCTAGGCAGAGATCTTAATGGCATGCAGCATAGAAAAGTGCCGTGTCAGGAGAAGAGCAGACAACTTTCTGGCATCCCCCTTCTCTTGCTCTCCCGGGTGGGTGTATCCCTGCCTGTTTGCCTGTTTGTGAGGTGAGCTGCAACCACTGCTGCTCGGTCAGTCCTCCAGCTCCTGGGTGGTGCAGGATGGAAGAGTTGCCCATCCCTGGCAACCAGCGTCAGAAATGTTTCTGGGACTTGTGCAGCCTTCACATGATCAAGGGTTTTACAGGGTAGAGAAGGGCTACTGAATTTTAACAGCTGGAAATCCTGCCCAACACCAGGTGAAAACACAGCTCTTTACACTCTGACAGGTGGTGCCGTGCTGTCCCCAGCGCCCCTTGGCAGCCCTCTGGCTCCTCCAACCCTGTCCCATCCCCATCCCAAAGTGCTGGCCTCAGGACTTCGCTGCCTTCACTGAGGCAGAAATGGTAGGCGCTGCCCACAACTTCAGCAGAAGGGAAATTCATGTGGAGGAATGTGGATTTTAAAAAAAGAAAAGCATGACAAATCTTGTTTTGTAAAGAAGATTTTTGTTTTGGATATTTCATCTGACTACAGTTTTTGAGTTCTATCTGCCAGTGTGTATCTTTTCCTCAGAGTCAGTGGGATTACTTTTTTTTTTTTTTTTCCTCTGAGTACTGGGGCTTAAAAGAGCAGTAAGTGAAGGAAAGCTGCTTGCACATGAAAAAAACAGTTAGCATTCCCCATTGAACTCATGAGGGTGTGTTAAAGCAACAGCTGGAACTCACTGTTGTTTTAGTTTTGGACACTTAAATCATGCTAAATAATTATCATTCTCCAAGGACAGAACCATGGAGCCCACCTGCACATGGACAAACAGGCATGTCTTGGTCTCGGGCTAAGTGAGGGTTTTTTTTTAAGGTAACTCAGGCTGTTCTTTCAAATGCAAAACCTTTATTGCCTGGAATCTCTCAAAACTCTTAGGTTTCAGTGAATTAATTGTTTCTTTGCTTTGTCAGTGTGGCTTCTCTCTGTGACATCCACAAGATACGGTTTCTTCTTTATATTGCATTTACATTCAGCAGTCTTTTACATGAATCCATATAATTACCTTTTGTAGATTTGAAGTTGCTGTGTCTTTATTCTTTATAATTGGTGCATCTATTAAGAAAAAGTGATATTTTCCCACTATGTCCTTGTTAATTATAACTCTATCCTTCATTTACATAATAAACTTTTTTTGGCAATTTCTGCAGTAACATTTCATGCCTAATAGGAAGCAATTTGCTTTCCTTTATTAAGTACATTAAAACTTCATGCCCCAGACATCATTGACTGTAAACATTTGATTCTGCTTAAATTTAATGCACCAAGGCATTTTGCTCTGCCATATTAGGTTTATTTATGTGCTATGTTCTGGATTGTTAGCTGCTAATGAGACTTCAGCTCTTATTGCTCTAAGGCCTGAACACTAACCTCATTTTAATGAGTTCATTATTTGCTGCCTTCTGAATGGAAGACAACAAATTTTCCTTTTAATTAAAGGTCAAAACACCTCTGGCTAAGGAAAGTGTAGAGGTTATCAAATCCTTAGAGAAGGTAAAAGAATGACTTTTTCTGATTTTGATGCCAAGCAGGGGCAGGCCTGGCTGAGGTAGAAGGTGTTCCTCTGGGGACCAAAACTCAAAATCTAAGCTAAGTGATAACAACACTAAAACGTGGTATGAGTCTTGCCAAGACACTGTGATAAAAAAAACCCACAAAAAACACCAAAAAAACAACCAACCAACCAAACCCTGAAAGTCAGACAAAGTAATTAAAGAGGCTTTACTCCTAACCCAAAGGTCTAGGTGGATCAATACTACTGCTAAAGCATGAGCCCTTCTTTGCATGTGCAATGATTCATAGGGTGCAGAGGACAGAGGACAGATTAATTGAACCAACAAAAACAAATCTCATATTTCTTATAGGGGAAAGAGAGACAAATGTGTTCAATATTGGGGGCTGTTTGTAGTGAGACAGAGGTATATGTCTCAACTGTGTGTTTGTGCGTGTGCAAATGCACATAAAGGGGATTGGTGATTCCTTTCTTTGAAAATACAGAGTGGAAATTTTAGTCAAACCAAAAAAAGGATTAATTACAGGAATTAATACATAGATCCTTGTCCTTTGTCTAACATTTTAGACATTGTCACCATCTTAAAGACAGGCTAACAAACATTGGTTCATGTGCCTCCCATTTGAGAAGCTGCTCACGTGGCAGACAATAGTGGTAGAGACAGGAAGGATATTTGGGAAAGAAG